CTCACGCCCGGCGCGGGCGGGGGCCGCTCGGCACATGGGTGTCCGGCATCTGGGGAGAGAAACAGGCAGGGCGGCAGTCAGGACACACGGGTCATGCTGTAACCTGGGCACCGCAGCCTGCCTCAGCTCTGCCCGCTGCACAGAAGTGAGCGTTTTCTTTCACATGCCGTTGAAGAAAACTTGTTGGAACTGAGAGGGTCGTCAGAATTTGAGCCAGTGCCTGGTGTCATGCTTTTCGTGATGATTTGGGTAATTTGCCCAGCACTTGCATCCTAGCACACAATACTCTTTCCCCCTACGTGTCACTGTGTGCGTGTGCAAGTCACTTTACTGCTGCCAGTCACTCATTCACCTCCAGCAAGTGGTTCCCTGGCCTGAACTGTGTTTTCAACTGCAGTCTCTACTCAAACTAGCTGTTCTTCCTTGTACACAATTTAGTGCAAAAGTTTTGTTTGAGAGAGTACAGTTTTCACCTTTATACAAGGAGGGAATATTTACTCCACAACCAGAGCAGGTCTGATGATAAAATTACCTCTGTTCTCACAAGTTTAACCCCAGATGGAAGCTGTAATCAGCAGGACACAGCAACTTAATTTTATGAGCATGGACAGTTCACAGAAGGTTAGAGCTAGCCTGTCCCCCTCTCCTAACCACTTAAATCAAAACCATGTCTGCATCCAGGCCATAAAATGATCTTTAAACACCCTGGCTGCTGCAGGACACTGCAGGAGACCAAATGACACCCACTGGACCCTATGTGAGCAACAGAGTCATGTGCTTTGCTAATGGGACCAACAGTCCTTAGTCCTTTCTGCATCAGTGACTGTATGGCAGGGCTCAACCCAGGAACCTGAAGTGCCCCAATTTTTTCAGTGCAGGAACATGCAACTGAGTGCTGGCTGTCAGTGCTGGATTTCAGTCCATGCTTCTGTCATCACCAGCAAGCCCTTAGCCCTTAGATGGATCAAAGATTTATAAGACATAAGCAGAATGTCTGGAATGTCTTTCAGTTTTGCTTGAAAAGAAAGCTCAAATAGTTTCTATCTCACCTAGCTACAACAGATGCTAAGTATGCAAGATTCCCACTGACAAGAACCATAGGCTTCCCAGGAAGTGTTACCTGTTAGGACAGGTCAGAGGGCTACAGTGCCACTTAAAATGGTAATTCAAGAAAGCAGCTACATGGCTAACAGTGTGCATCCTTGGTCCTTGAAGCTGCTTAGACAGGTGATGCTCAAGGCTTGACTCTGCAAAGTTCAGAGCTCCCTGACCCAAAGAGCAAGACACTCTAAAACCAGCCCTAAACATCATCACATCTGAGCCTTTGAGAAGAGTTCATCAGTGACCTCCTTGAGATATATGAAGCTGCAGCTCAAAACCAAAACCAGAATTATTTTAAGAAACATATACACGCTACCAAATTCAAAGGTGAGCAAAATAGGAGAAAACACAACATGTTGAAAGCTTAGTTGACTAGGCTGTAAATAATATCCTGTAACAACACTGTACAAGAGTATCAACAGACTCTTTTTGAAAACAAAATCTTTGGTAGTGTTCTGACTCAAAAAGAATAAGAAATGTAATCCTAATTGATCTGATTGGCCTTCAATACCAAAGAATTGCAGCTGATCATTCAGGGTATCATCAAGTCCTATGTTCTAACAGAACTCACTCCATTAATGTTGAAAACAGAAAATCCCTAGTGCAGCTTTCAAAGATAGGGGTGTACTGTGTTTTCATGGCCTGTTTTTTGGTAGCGGGAGGCCTACAGGGTGGCTTCTTTGAGAAGCTGCTAGAAGCCTTCCTTCACATCCAGCAGAACCAAAGTGCAAAAGTCAGGGGCTTTGCTTTCATATGGGGCATCCTAACTGCCATGGGAAGTGAACAGCAAAGAGCACCATTCATAACCTTGCAACAAAACACGTGCTTGTCATTTTTGAACAGTGACTTGTACTGGCCATGTTTAAAACAATATCCTTGAAAAATATCAGTGAATAAAAATATCCACAGAAGATGCCAAAGCTATATTATACTGCCATCCAGTTATACCAGCTAAAACAGCTAACATTAAATAACTGTTCCAGGTCTTTCCTGGTATTCCTCAAGGACCACATATTTTCCCCTCTGCACTAATCAGTGTGTACCACACACTTTACTTCAGACCAAAACTGCTGTATTATATTTGTAAATAAAAACTACTGTCCTATTTTCTCTCTTCATGTAATACACTTTGCTAATATTTATTTTTAAATATTTATTTAAATATTATTATAAAATTTATTTATTAAATATTTATTAAAAATCTTTCTAATAATTCAGAGCCAAAAGAAATTCCCACTACAAGCATTAGAACACATACTAATACTGTTTT